AGGTGCCCTGCCCGTCTAGGGGAAGGAATTGTTAGGGCAGAATTCCCTCCCAGGGCCATTGCCTACTGGTCTTCCACCCCTCCCCCAGGGCACCCATGGAGCCCACCCATTTAAAGGCAGGGCAGGGTGGGGAGTGCCAGCGTGGGTGGGTAATTGCTCTCTGGATGGCTTTCTCATCTGTAAGTGGGCTTAACGGGGCCCGCTGTGTGGGGGGTAAGAAAGACCCCTGGGTCAGCCTAGAAACGGACACCTGAACAAGGCCCTTGGTGGTGGTGGCCTGTGCACAGCCCGCTCTAGCCAGCTGCTTTGTGAGGGGACTTGTCAGGGTTGCAACGTGAGACTGCAGGGCTAAGTTGGGCAGGAGCGGATTGGACTAGGCAGACATTTAATGGATACCAGGCATCTCCGTTTTACTGAGATGGAATTAAGATGTAAGAAAATCACTTCGTTTTAAGTATATACAACCTCGACAAATATATGTATAGCTCTGTAACCACCACCATAGTCATCATATAGAACATTCCAGTCATTCCACCAAGTCCCCTGGCCCTGCCTCTTGCAATCAGTTGGCCCCCTCCACCCCCGGCCCCTAGTAATGATCCATCTGCTTCCTGTCACTTTAGGATTGCCCTTTCTAGAATTTCATACAAAAGGAGTCGTGCGTTGTGTTGGCTTTTTCACTTGGCCTAGTGCTTTTGGGGGTCGCTGCTGTTGTGGGAGTGAGGCGCGGGCCTCTTCATTGCCGACTCGGATCCTGCTGGATGGACGGTTTTCCATCTCCAGTCGGGACACCTGGGTGGTTTCCAGTTGGGGCTGTCACTGATACAGCATCTCTGACCTTGCACGTGACTTTCTGTGGGCTTGTGCATTTACTTCTTTTGGGTAGATACCTAGAAGTTCAATTGCGGGGTTTTTGTGTGGCCTGTTTAACTAGAGGTAACCAGCCTGACTGTCTTCTGCCTGCTTTGGTTTCCACCAGCAATACCTGAACGTTTCAGAGAGAGAGAGAGAGAGAGAGTCATCTTTGTCAACATTTGGTGGCATCCCTGTTTTAATTTTACTTGTTCTAGTGGGTATGAAGTGGTATCTTGTAGTTTTAATTTGCATTTCCCAAAGAATAATGATATTGAGCGCCTTTTCATTTGCTTAATTGCCACTTAGTATCTTGTCTCTTTTTTGAATACCTGATATCTTTCTGATTTCGTTAGCAAATGTTCATTCCGACAGGGATTAATTTCTGAACCACATATAGTAAGTGTCTACTACGTCACATAATAATAAATGCCAAGTCTTAGGGGTGAAAGAGAAGGACTATGAAACCTTTTTCCCCCAAATAATTATTTATTGAGCACCTGTTATTTGCTAACTGCTGAAGAGATAAATGCACACGAAACAGGTCACAGAAGAGTTGGACAAGGGGTAGGAGGTGCGGGGCCGCACAGTGGGGTGTCAGCGCCGCACAGTGGGGCGTCAGTGCCTCCGGGCGCATTCGTGATGCTTGGAAAGCAAAGAAGCGAGGAGGCGGCCACGGAGCCGGCTCTTCAGCTAGGCCTGATGCCTAAGTGGGTGTTAGCAGGCAGGGAGAGGTGTTGCTGGCCGAGGGAACAGCACTGACAGACTCAGGACTAACGGGATTGGCAGAAGGTGGCTGGAATTTAGGGTGTGCTTTGTGGTGTCAGTCTGGTGGGGGGCNGTTCTGGTGTAAATTGGGCTCTGAACCCTTGTTTGATTGGTGGGCCGTTGGTGCCCCAGTAAAGGTGGTAGGATTTTATAGCAGTAAAACAGAGCGCTCCAGTGAAACACAAGAATCCTCAACATCCAGGGGCTAGGAAGGAAGACGGTGGGTTAGAGTACAGGCCCAGGGGGAGAGAAGCGACAGGAAAGGGAGGTGGGGACCCGACCGTGGAATGTCCAACACATGTCTGACCAGCATCTCATACTTAACGTGCCCAGTCCGCATTTGGGCTCCGCACGTGCCCTTCCCCAAGAACAGCAACACAGTGTCTCCAGCTGTTCAGGCCCCAGACCCTGGACTTGACTCCCCTCTTCTCTTCTGTGTCATATTTAATACTTTACAGAATCCTATTGTCTCTGCAGTCAAAGTAACTTGAGAATCTGACCAGTTTTCACTACTTCTCTGCTTGCACGCTCATCCAAGCTACCATCCTGGATTGCAGAAACAAACAGCCCAGACTGGTCTCCCTGCTTGCACCCTGGCTCCTCCAGCCTGTTCTCAGCACCACGCTGGACTGGTTATGTTAAAACAGGAGACCAGCTGCTCCTTTGCTGTCCCTTCCTGTGGCTGACAGGGCCTTGCCATCTGGCCTCACACCTCACACTCAGCTCCAGGCATGTCCTCACGGTGCTTGCAGTCTAGCAGGGAAAACCAACTCTCAGGAACTCGAGTCAGGACTGGCACTGAGAGGAAGCAGAGGTGCCGTGGGCTCTCACCACGGGAGGCCCTGCATGCCTGCGGGCTCAGGGAAGAGCCCTGGAGGGTCATGGGTGCCAGTCAGGTGAAGTGTGGGTGGTGAGAGGGTTCCGCGGAGTTTCAGGGCCTGGAGAGATGGTCAGAGCTGGAGCGCTGGGTGTGTGTGTGGGGGGGGGGGTGGCAGGCAGCACGGGTGTGCAGGGCTTGGGTGGTAGTTGGTCAGGCAGCCCTACTACAGAGCCCAGCCCTGGTCCAGGGAGCACCAGCACCATTAAAAGGTTAGGCAGCCAGTGATAGGATCAAATCTGTGGTAGACTATTCTGTATCTTAGATTTGAGGCAGGGTGACCAATTCGGAAGCCACTCAAGGATCAGCATGTCACTCAGCAAGTGCTCGTCGGCAGGCACAGTCAGTCCTGGCATCTGGATATTTCCCACACACATTCAGCCCCGTCTTGCTGAGCTCTGCCCATAGCCACAGTGCCCAAGGTTGAAATCCGTGGTTCTCAGGGACAGGCACTTTTGCCCCCACCCCCCTGAGGCATATTTGGCAGTGTCTGAGGACATTTTTGTGCTGCTATCTAGTGTGATGTTGCCAAACATTCTACAATGCACAGGACTGTCCTACAGCAGTAATCCAGCCCAAAACATCAGTAGCGCTTGAACCCTGATACATAATATTCTAATGGAGTTGAGTAGAAGAGTGTCCTGACTGATTGGGAAGCAAGAGGGAAGAACCATCTCCGCCACAGGGTAGCAGGGCGGGTTTCCGGAGATAGGGCACATTTGAGTTGGGTTTCGGAGGATGAGTAAGAGTTCCCCAGGAAGAGGATGGAGACAGGCTGCAGAGGTGGGGAGAATTAGAGATGTGCGTTGAGGGTGGAAGAAGTTTGACTTGTGTCCTGTCAGCGCCATTATGGACTCCTACAGGGTGCTTTTGGTACATTTCATACCTTGTTGATGGAGAGAGAGCAAAGCCTATGAGGTAAAAAAATGTTGCAGCCTCATGCTTGAGGCCAGCAGAGAGATGGTCATGTTTCTGGTTGATTCGTGGAAGCTGGAATGGTTGAAGATGCTCACGGAGATCCCCACCCAGTCCTGACCCTTGGAATGTGGGCTCCCCCAACCCCCCAGGACCTTATTACAGATGACTTGTAGGCCCTGGAGTGGAAAGGACCTCGTTACTTCTGCAGCCTCCGTGGTGGAGTCTCCCCACTTTGTGGTGATGTGCCCTTTAGAAAGACCTGGACCCTGAGCTTTGGTCAGCTGGCTTGTAGCTTCTACCCACAGGCCTTCCCTCTGCTTTCTGAGCCGTTAGCCAGAAAAGGGCAGTTCCCCTACCGTAGACTCGAGCTGAACCCCCATCATACGCACCCCAGGTCTGCCCTGTTCTCTGGGAGCGCTGGCTGCTTCCAGCCCTGCACATGACCACGAGCTTCTCTGGCATCCCAGCCAGTCTTTGACGGGCATATTTTGGGCCACAGTGGCTGTGCACTTGTCTCATTCAGTTCAGTTCCCACATCTGTAAGAATAATGTTATTATAGGGTCAGTGTGAGACTTAATTCACAGGTGTCCCTATAGGGTTGCCTGGGCTGTGACAGGTACGTGATCTGCCTTTGTCTTCACACCCTCCCTGTTGGGTGAGACTAGACTGTCTTTAGAGACGTGAACACTGAAGTCCCAGGAGGTTCTGGGAAGTGAAATGGAGCAGCCCCCCAAAGTCTTCCCTTGTGACTCCTCAGAAGGCCCTGGGCAGGCAGAGGGAAAGTGAGGGGACAGTAAGGGCGGTGGCAGTGTCTAGTGGGCTGCTAATGTGCCCAGGGTCACACGGGGAGCCCTCAGGGTGCCTGTTGTAAGGCTTGCTTTGCTTTATTGGGAAGGGGCTGAGCTGAGAGGCAGGAAGGAGAAGGCTTTCAGGGCTGGGAGAGATTATTTCCTGCTTGGAGCATCAGGGAACAGGCTTGTTGAAGGAGGCGGCCTTTGCCTGGGTGTTAAAAGATAAGTCGATGCCATTGGGGATTGGGTAGGAGGGAAGACATTCCAGACCAAGGCAGATAAAGGGATTTGACGGAGGACCGATGAGGGCATAGTGGGCAGTGGCCCGGGGGTCCTGAGTTAGGGCTCCGTTCCTCTGGGTGAGGAGGAGCCGGGAAGGTTGAGTGGGGGTGGGGGTGGGGGGTTGGAGCTCACGGGTTTCTACTTCGGAGGCTGGGCGCCATTTATATGCAGTCATTCGTTTACTGCTGGATCCCAGGGCCCGCCCAGAGTAGATGCTGGGAGGTCTTTGAAGGAATGAAGNGGGGTGGGCAAAGTTGGCGTTTCTGGCCCGGCCCGGTGCAGCCCCTGCGTCCCCAAAGGGCCCGGCCGGGATCGTGGACCAGGAAGTCGCGCGGTCCCCTGCGCTCCTTCAGAGTGGCGGCCACCCCTCCGGGTGGAGGCAACAGGTGACCGGCGGAGACCGGCCCTGGGCCTCTGCTGTCCTCCCTCCGCTCCTTTCTCAGCCCAGCCCAGCCGGGGACCGGGGCGGGGGCCACCCCTAACGCGCCCCGCCGCGTTTGTGTCTCCGCAGAGAAGGTGTTCGCCAGCCTCCCTCAGGTGGAGAGGGGCGTCTCCAAAATCATCGGCGGCGACCCCAAGGGCAACAATTTCCTTTACACCAATGGAAAGTGCGTCATCCTAAGGAACATCGACGTGAGTGTCCCCTTCCCGCCACCGGGCGCCGGTCGGCCCCTGCGCATCCCCTAGGTTAAGTCTCCTTCCCCTTCCACCCGCTCGTTGCTGGCCCCGCGGCTTGGGACGGGAGGACGCCACGCCCCCTCAGCCTGGGGCGCGCACCTCAGCAGCCCGGAAAGACTGGACGAAGTTGATCGAAGCCCGATTCTTTTTCTTCATGGGGAAACTGAGTCTCAGATTGGTTCAGGCCGTAACCACAAGGGCTCTGGAGTTGAGCGAAAAAACGGGCTTCACCTTGGGGTGGGTGGTGACTTGGGCCTCTCTGAACCCCAGTTTCCTCATCTCTAAAATGGAGGTGATGAGATGAGGCTCCCTCCCCCACCACACTTCCCCTGGCTGCCCTGCCCACTGAATGAGATGATGCGTGCCTGCCTCCAGCCTAGCATGCCTGGCACACACCCAGCACTCGGTAAAAAGCGTTTACGTTTAATCATTAGCCCTGGGTCTCCCGGTGTGGCAGAGCCCAGGCTCAGACCCAGACCTCTGCACGCCAGACTCATTTCCTGCTACGGATCTGAGCCCCAGTGCAAAATCAGGAACCGGTTAATTCCCATGAATCATTGGCACAGGCTCCTCCACCCAGGCTGAGAATGCTTCTAGAGCCAATTCCCTGGGAAATCCTTGCAAATTCCTGCTACTCCTCTGTGATTATTGAAATGACCCCGTCTGCTTGTCAGTCTCCCCGCTGCCAGGATTGCCTGCTGAAGTCTTTCTTTTCCCCTCTGGACCTGAGTGATGGAATGGGGAATGGAAGCTGGAGGTGCCAGCAGGACCACTGGGGTGGGGAGTCCCTCGAGCTGGGCTTGGGGTTTCGCCTTGTGCACAGTGTGTAGGTAGGCGACTTTGCTGGGCAATGCTCTTCAAGGGTGTCAACTTGAATTCACATCTGTTGTGACTACACTTGGTGGGTTAGGGTTGTCACGGATCAGACGCACTTGACCTCAGGAACCTCACAGCTTGCTGAGGGAATGAAGGGGCCCTGTGGGCCTCAGTTTCCTTGTCTGTAGAAGGAGAGGCCTCTGCAGGGTGTGAGGTGCTGCTGGCTCTGCCCCCACGTCTCTGGTGAAGCCAGCCAGTGCTGGAAGATGGAGCTCGGGCAGTTTCTGGCGGGTTGCTGGGCTACTCAGCTGAGGAGGCGGGTGGGTGGGTGTGAATGCGCTTTAAAGGTGCTAACAGCTACTCTGCCAGTCCCACGGGTTCCTAGAAAGCTGATACGTCTCACTCAAGTGGAGGAAGCACCACCAAGGACTGAGATCATAAAGATCCAGGGGTCTCCTGAGCGGGGGCCTGAAAATTTAAGAACAGTTGAGATGGCCCTAAGGAGATACTCATGTGAAGTTTGGCACATAAAAATGGACGGAGGCATCTCAGGGATGCAGACGGTGGACCACTACAGGGCAGGCGTGTGTCGTGGCCGTTTACACTTGCTTCCAGATGCCGACCTGTGAAGTACTGTGTCTGGCACCGTGAAACACGGTTCTCACTGCAGCATCTCCGGCCCCACAATGGGCCCATCCCTCTGAAGGGGCGCGAGGCTCAGCGAGGTGAAGGAAGCCAGTAACGAGCTGGTTCCAGTGGAGAAGCTGTTCGTGGCCGCCGACAAGCCCCCTCTGCGGGAGGTGTTCCCTGACTCATGAAACCCATACTGCTCGTCTTCTGAGGCCTTTATTTTTACCAGTACCCCAGGGTCTCCCATTCTCGGGGGGCGCATCTGCGTCCCCTTCCCACCTATTTGTAAGTTTCTTCAGGGCCAGGACAGCATAGGCTGCTGCTGACGTTACCCTCCCTGTTCTGGTGTAAATTGGGCTCTGNCCCGCTGCCTCCCTCCTCACGGGGCCCTCTCCCCTCTGTGCTGCTTGTTCACATCTCCCTCCTCTTACACGGTCGCCATTATTGCAGCAGGGCCCACCCTAGTCACCTCCTCTTAGCTTGATGACATCTGCAAAGACCCTATTTCCAAATAAGGTCACATTGACAGGTAGCAGGACTGCAGTCTTGTCGGGTCCCAGCTCATCCTGTAACATGAAACAGACACATGCAGACGCTTCCACACAAACACTTCCGTTTAACGTGAAGTCAGTGATCTTTCGCATGTTTAAAAATACATACAAACAACACGAAGTCAGTGCTTTCTTTGGCTGGGGGGGCAGGGTTGTGCCGAGTAACTGGTGCTCCTGAAGGTCGGGCGCCTCTGCCCTAGAGGCCTCTGACCCCCCACACCTTCGGGGGAGGGGTGTGTGGCTGGGGCGGGAGCTGGCGGCTGTGCATTTGGGGTTTCTAGAGGATCGTTCTCTGACACAAACCCATCTTGACTGAGGGAAAAGTGAGTTCATGTATTTATTCAGGTGAGGGAATCACCTTTGGAGGTCATTTCTCACCTACTCAGACTCCTCATGAAGGTCGTTTCCATTATTTGTCTTTAAAACCTCAGTGGTTTGCTCACTGAGCACCTGCTGTGTGCTGGGCCCGGGCCAGGCCTGGGAACCCTGGGAACCCGGGGAGGGGGCCGGAGGGGCCTGGCGGGCAGGAAGCCTCGGGGTTCGGGGGCCCAGCGGGAAGAGGGCAGCCTGAAGAGCTCAGGGAGCACGGCTAGCAGAGGCCGAGGGCCTTCCCCGCAGGGAGGTGGGCCTGGGCCGAGGCCGGCAGGCTGCACCAGCCCCCCCAGCTGAGTCGGGAGCTAACTGGCATTGTTGAAGCTTTGAAGACTTCCTGTGGAAGGCAGGCAGTTCACATTAGTAGCTGTTCGCGGCAGGCTCTACACCTCAGAGAACTTGCCTGAACCTCCTGTCGTCAGGTGGGTAACTGTCCTCTTTCCCACAGGACCACAGCCGCTTTGTCAACTGTGTGCGTTTCTCTCCCGATGGGAACAGATTTGCCACGGCCAGCGCTGACGGCCAGGTGAGAGCTGGGGCCGGGCTGGGGGCCCCTGCGGTGGGGGCCCCTCCAGTTGTCCTGTGTGACTGCTCAGAACAGACAGACTAGCTAAGCCAGTCTCCGTGTGCGGAACTTAGGAATCTCCCTCCTCCCCACCTCCTGGAATGAGGCTCGGTCACGGGGCTGTCACCAAAGCACAGGACACACGGTTCTCTGTCTCCTTTTAAATGGAGCTCGAAACTCAATCTATCAGCACTTTTTTAGATTAATCCCCTTTTTTGAGTCACAGCCGGGAACTCTGACAGCAGGATAGATAAGGAAGGGCTCCTTCAGCGTGCTAACTGCTAAGAGTGTTCACATGTATGCAGATAATCCCCATACACTTTTATTTCTGAAAGATATACATCTACGATGGAAAGACGGGAGAGAAAGTGTGCTCACTGGGAGGAAGCAAGGCTCACGACGGAGGCATTTATGCTGTGAGTATGGCTTTGTGTTCCGTGACTTGTCTCTGGCAGTGGTCGGGCCATATCCGCATTTGCAGTCATCCGAACAGATTTTGCAATTAGAAGCTTTTTTTNCACTGCGTAGAGCCCAGATTCCAATGACTTCAGTGTTTGTTCTTTGAACGCGCATGTGTGAAGCATGGTCGCGAGCCGGGGCTGCACTGCCGGCACCCACTCCCCTCCTTTGAGCACTGGCCACTCAGCTGCCCGTGTCCCATCAACCTGCCCAGGACTGATGTCTCTTTCCTGTGACTCCTCTCATTGGGTAAAGGTTTGGTGCCGTCTTCCTGTGGGACAGTGGCTCTTCCGTGGGCGAGATCACGGGACACAACAAAGTCATCAACAGCGTGGACATCAAGCAGAGCAGGCCATACCGGCTGGTGACGGGCAGCGACGATAACTGCGCCGCGTTCTTTGAGGGGCCACCATTCAAGTTCAAGTTTACAATTGGCGTAAGTGAACTTCTGTCAGATGGTTTGGGGGTGAACTTTGTGGTTTGCATGTGAAGCCAGTGGAGTGTGGACCTGTTAGATGTTGACGGCAGAGGTCGCGGGCACACGTCATTAATGTGCAGGCGGAAAGCAGGGCTCGCTGGGGGAGCTTCACACAGAGTGGACGAGCACCCCAGCCCCGGGGCCTCCGGGTAGGACGGCGTGGGCGGTCCCAGCGGGAGGGGCTTCCCTCGGAGCTGTGTGTGCTCCGGCATGAGGAGGGAGCATCTGCGAGCCCTGTGACGCGGCAAGCACCCTGGTTGGAAGGTGCCTTGTTAGCAGCGGGGAGCCCAGGGCTGGCGTCAGCCTGCTCTCTGGTTGTGCCACCTTGAGACCTGCTGAGCCACCAAAGTCGTGGAGGAGGTGAGCTTCCAGGGACATCCAGGTTTGTTCCCAGCGCCTTCCTGGGAGAGAGGACGGCAGGGACACGTGTGAAGTGACAGGCGATGGGAAAATTCGATGTTTCACCTGGAGATCCGTGGCCCAGGCCTGGTGGAGTGTTAAGGCTCTGGGTGTCAATGGCCCTGTGGTCTCAGTCCCAGCTCTGCACGCGCTCCTGACTGGCTGGCCCAGGGCCTGGCCCTCTCTAGGCCTCACTTTTCCATCTGCAAGATGGGTGTTGCTGGCATCAGAGCGTTTTCACCGTGAATTTGAGCTGTGCAAAGCTGCCCACAGGTCCGGGCAGCTCCATGTCCCGCCTCATGGAGGACTAGATGAGAGAATGCCCTTGAAGAGGCTCACTGGGGACTCCTGTTAACTTTGATGACAGTGCAGTAGATCACAAACAGCGGGCAGGGTGTCGCTGTCTCGTCAGGTCCCCAGAGGGCAGGTCTCGCACTGGGGGCAAAATTTTCAGACACAGACCTTCGCTCAGGTCCAGAGGGTTCTCCAAGAGTTCCCTGTTGGTAGCGAGACAGGCTTCATTTCGTCCTGGGGCCACTGAGCAGGGTCTGGCTGGTGCCCAAGTGGCATGTGCCACATGGGAGGTGCCCGCCTCCCAGCAGCCTGCAGCTCTCCAGGGCCTTGTCGGTGGCGGGAGGGAGCTTTGCTGAGCCTGTGGTTCATGGTCGGTGTATTCTGAGTGCGGACAGGGACCAAGCAATGCAGTGACTCATGCTGAGTCAGATAAGTGCACCCTGCGGGGGAGGGTGGAGGGGGAGCGGTCTCTGTAGCCGCAGGCAGCCGTCCTGGCCGTCTCAGCGGAGCCATGCCAGTTCCCCGAGCCCCCACACGTTCTGTTTGGTTCCACTGGGCTGGGGTGGGCGGGCTCCTTTCCCTTCCTGGGAGGGGTCAGTTCCTCTTTGCAGTTGTGGATAAAAGCCCGAGGAGCCAGGGTTGGAGCCGAGGCAGCTCCAGCCTGTGCCCTCACCGCCCTGCCAACCTGCTCACTCGGCTGGAATAGTCTTTCCCTCTCTGTTCTCCCTTCTAACCTGAGAACAGCCCTCACCCCAGGCAGGCCCGGCCGGGAGTGTTGGTAAAAGGTGGCCCAGCCTGCACCTGCCTCCACCGTGGGCTCACAGTTTACCTCC